TTTCCAGGTTTTTCCAGTTCTTTTAACATGTCAAACTCTGGAGATTTGTTCATGAGCGTGCAGTCTCTCAATGGGGATTCTTACCAAGGGGCCCAGGTTGGAGCCAACGTGCAGTCACAGGTAGGGACCCATCCGATGTACTGCCAGTGAATGCATTAGTGTTGGAGGAGCCTTTGATTGTATTGGCACTTCTCCCTCCCGTCCGAAAAGAGCAAATCTCAACCAGCACAAACAAACCAACCAACACTTAAAAAGGCAAACCAAACCAAAAAAAAAACAACCAACCAACCAACCAAAAAAAGCAACAGCAACAACCGCCAAAAAAAAATCCAAAAGAAACCAAAACCAAACACCCAACCAAACCAACAACCATGGTCTTGAGGAGACTTGCCCACACTTTGTGAATGCATTTGGCTCTGGCTTGATAGTCGTACTAGGAGGAGAGGAGGTTCAGGAGAACAGGCATGAACTCAAACGAAAGCAGCTGAGGTTTAGGTTCTGCTTGCTTTATTCTTCCAAGGGAAGGGGCCAGATGTTTGGACTGGTGTCTCATTTTACAAGTCTTCCACTTACTCCTTCGATGCCAAACCAGGTGTCTACTGAAAGGCGAGAAATGCTCAAATAAACAGCTAGATTTTTTTTTTTTTTTAAATTAAAAGCCACCCCTCATCATCTCCCCACCTCCCCAAAGCACAGGCACTCACACCACCCATGTACACACCAGCAAGAAAGAGCAAGGGAGCTTTGAGCAGCGTTACTGAAACTTCAACCTGTGCTTTGGGCAAAAAGAAAGAATTTAAAATAGCCAGGAACTCACTCAGATCTCCCACCTCCCATCCGATGTCCAGATGTGCCATGAGTCCACTCTCTGGCATCTACAGGCATCTAAGGCTCTGTACTGTGTTGAGAGACGACAGCCACTTTGACACTTCTGCATCAGGCAAGGAGAGCTCTCTAAAGCTGAGGTTGCTCTCCTCACAGTGCTGGATGCAGAGTAAGCGTGCCGTCCGTGGGCAACAAGATGTGCTCGCTGCACGTACCGCTGCTGGGGCTGGGCTAGGGGAGTGGAGGGAGAGGAACCGGGTGTCCGGAGGAGAGCTGCCAGTGCCTTTGCCATGGTAGGTATATTCCCTCTCTGGGCCCTCCAAAATGAAGGCGCTTGGCCAGCTCCGAGGATCTCCTTCCACTGCCGTGAGCTTCCCAGTGCTTGGGGCTGAAGGGTTGAAGGGGGGTAGGAACGTGGGTCCTCGAGCACGATGGTGGAGCCGGCGGCAGCGATATGCTCCAGGAAGTCCCACCCCATGCTTGCCACGCTGTTCTCCCTCTCTGCTCTTTTTGTCAAAAGACTTGGGACCAAGGAGAGCGTGGCGGGGCCACCAGGGCAGGTGGGGGGTGGTGAGGGAGGCAGAAGTCCTCTGGCTCAGCTCTCACCGCAAGACCAACTGTGGTTCTTTTTTCCCCCTCTGTAAATATATACCTTTATTATTATTGTTATTATTACTGTTTGTTTTTATCTTGCCAAAGATGAACCGAAGTGGCTTTGCCCACTAACCTTTCATTCACTCTAATTTGTGTCTTTGTTGTCGTTGGTCTGTTTAGGTGGATACCCTTCGCCATGTTATCAGCCAGACAGGAGGATACAGTGACGGACTCGCAGCAAGTCAGATGTATAGTCCGCAGGGCATCAGTGTAAGAAAAAAAAAAATAGGCTTGGGTTCTTGTTTTATTTTTTTTTATTTTTTATTTTTATTCTCTCACTACCAATTATTTCAAAGCCATAGGGCTCAGAATGCCACTTAGTAGGACTTGTCTTTGCTTTTACGGTCACCTAGTTTATTGCTTCTGTATCGGTCACGCCAACGGCAGAGCTTTGCCCACAAAAAAAGTGGCGACCGGGCAGGCTTTGTGCAGGCAGCTGGCGTCTAGGACTGTCAGAGCCGATCAGCGTTCGTCCGGCACCTGCGGCCACACGTGCTCGGCCGAGAGGAGCTGCTAAACAGGTGACACCTCGCGTAACTGCAGTGGGGAATGTCACCACGAATGCCCCGGTCCAGAGATGGCTCCATGCAGAGGCCAATGGCACCATCCCGGAGCGACCATCTAAAAATAACCCATCCCTGGCCGGCATCTGAAAGCATGGTGGTGATGGGGTTGGCGGCAATAACGGTTGCAAATAAAAGGAGAAAAAAAAAACAAAGCCAACCAACATCAACCCAAGAAAACCTCGCCCAACCGGACTCGGGGAGGATGCGAGGGGGAGGGTGGTCTCCGGAGCATCTTCTCCTTGTTCTTGGGTGTGCTGGCGGGTTCTGACTAGCATGAAAATTCGTAGCGACAAGCTGTGTCACACAGGGGGAAATCGATCAGACACACACAAGGAGAACCCAGTGTAGATTCGGGACAGCAATCCAACTGCATTTCTCAGATCAATCGTCTGCCATCTCAGCAGCGGTGACAGCAAGCTGGGAGAAGAGGGCAGCCTGGAAAAGGAGGCTGTGAGCGCTGAGTGGGTGGTGGCGGTGGTGTCTGGGGTGGCACGGAGGAGGGGGCAGCTGGCCCTGGATGTGGCTAGCTGCCGCGGTCCCCATCAAGGAGGCTGAAGGTTGAGGTGGGGTGGTCTCGGGCTGGGCAGGAAGGCGGTGGTCCTCTGGATGGGACGGTGGTCCTGCAGCCGAGCACCCTGGTGGGGTGCACCGTCCAGTCCCATCACCCTTCTGGCCAAGGCTTGTGCCATTTGTAACCTTGCATGTAACCATCTTCAGGCCATCAGCGTGCAAGCAGCCACTGCTGGCACAGGGAGAGGGTGCAGGGAAAGGGGTGCAGCAGCATGGGGGGTTGTGCTCCCCTCTCCTGCGGGCGCCGGGGCTTAGCGGGCAGCTTGACGTCAGGAGGCAGAGGCAGGGAGGATTTGTGAAGTAATGTAATTGAACATGTGCAGATAATTATGTCTCATTACATAAGCCCGTTGCAAAAACGGCACTTGGAAATGCCACATGAAAGAGCCTATCGTTCCGCATTAATTTTTCCGTGCACTGAATTTATTCCCTTTCTGGCTTTTTAATACTTGGAGAGTAAATGAATTGCAGGCTGATCATGATAAGAGATGATACTTTTGTATAAATTAAAATACCCCCAAGGAAAGAGGCTGAGCTGATTATGGTTGCAGTTGGCTTGGAAAATAACAGTGGGCTGGGTTAAGCCAAAATTTGGGGGGGAGGGTTGCTGCCGGAGATTACGAGGCAGGGAGAGGGCGATGGGGGAGAGGAGAAGAAAGAGGTAGTAGAAACTCAAAAGCCGAATAGGACGAGGAGGGCTGGGCTGGTATTTCTGGCTGTGGTACTGGGAGAACCACAGTGCTGTTACCACGAGCAGCACTGGGAACTGGTGGGCTGAGAGCGGCATGGGCTCAGCGGTCCCCCCTGCGCTTTGCAAACGGGGACCCGGGATGGTGGCATCTGATGGCTGCTCAGGCTGGTTTCCTAGGAGGGCAGGAGCCCAAATTGGCCTAAATTGGATGTTGTTCAGAGAAGGGCAGGGTGGCAAGTGGGCAAAGGGGCTACCTGGGTGTGGGGGTGACGCCTCATTTCCCCATAAAGCTCCCCATTTAGGCATGGGGAGCAAGGCAGGGAGTCCAGAGCTGAGCAAGTAGTTTAGGAAGCATCTTCTAGGTTGTCTCTCTGTCCCTGAATGTTTTGCTTCCCCCGTGTCCCAGGCAGCATGCTTGTCCCTGTAGCTTTTATTGTCACTTAATGTCTTCCTGTCCAGCTAGATCCCTTGACAGACCTCGGTTTGTTCACCCCCAAAGTATGGCTGCCCTCCGGGGAGCATTGGTCCTGGGCAAGGTCCTGGAAAGCTGCTCAGTGCAGGCGGGGTGGCTGTCTCGTAGCAGGCAGGGCTTCCCTGTCTCTCCCCTGAACCCTTTAACGCCAAGGACGGGCAGCGGGATGTGGAGGAAAGCTGCTAGTGACACAGAAAGATGCCGTTCCCATGTCACCCTAGCATCCCTGTGAGCTGCTGAAAGGAGATGAGCCAAAACCTAGTTGAGAGCCCTGTCACAAAGATGTCTGCACGGGGCTGAGGTTAAGTCATCCCTGGAGCCCGTCAGAGCTGGGAATTCAGTGGCAGGTTGCCCAGCTCCACCGCTGCAGACCTTGGCAGGGGAGACAACGCTTGGGGTTTGCCTTCCTTGATGGAGGATGAATTTTTAAATGTGTGTAAGTCATGACAGCTGAGGACAGGAATCTACCCAAAGCTCAGTTCCCTCCTGGCTCTGCTGCTCGATGGCTGACAGACTGCTCTGCGGGGCGAAAAGGACTGGAGTCGGTTCTGCATCGTTAGCAGGATAATGGGCGATGTCCCAGCCATCGCGATCTCATGACACGCAGTGATGGCTGAGGCAGAGCAAGAACAGCCGCCTTCTCCTCTGCAGGTGGAGACGGCGTTGGGCAGTGCCAGTCCCAGCAAGGGATGGGGATGCTCTTGGTGATGGAGGGGTGGTAGAGGCAGGAGCCGTCTTGAGGATACCCAGCCTTGAGTGGCACTGATAGGAAGGAGGGACCCCGCCACCTGAAAGGAGGGAACGTTTGGGGCCTGATCCAGCCCTTTTTGCAAGCTTTGAGGTTGAGGGGTTTTGCACCATTAAGTGAGAGGTGTTAAGTGTCTGGTCCCTCTGGACAGTGCTTGTTTGGGGGAGTCCGCGTGTGTACCCAGCCGGAGGTCCCTGAGGCTAGGGCTTTCAAAGCATTTAGATGTCCAGGTTCTGGTGGGTTCCAGTAGAAGTTGGATCTTTATTGCCATAATCCTCTGGAGGGTCCCAATCCAAAACATGGCCCTTCCTGCCACTGCCCAGTGGCCGTAAATCCACAAAGTGTTTTAGTTCCCCCATCTGCTAATGAATGAATGAGCTATAGTAATCTTAAAGAAAAACTCTTTCAGAAATTTCTTTTTGGACTTTACTTAATTTAATTTATAGATCATTTAAAAGTCTAAATTGAGGGGCTATTTTTGAAGTTCATCAGAGTGCAAAATTTTTGATTTAATACTGCTGTTGTGCAGAGCTGTGCCTATTTACAGACCAGTGTGTGTGACCATGGTGGTGGTCAGTGGCAGGTTGTGCCGTTGAGTTTTGCAGCCACTCTTGTCAGCAAGGATCACCACGCACTGGTACCTGTAGGAGGTGAGACCTCCTCGCTTGTGCTGAGACCCTTTTCTCTAAGAATTTGAGCCTTGAAAAGAAAGTTGTTGCTCTGCTCCTCAGCAAGCTACGGTTCACCATCATGATTAATCTCATGATCATGAGCTGGGATATGGAAGTTGGTCTGGCAGGGCTTCAGTGCCCAAGCTCCATCCATCAGGGATGCCTTGGTGTGTCCTGAAGACTACCACTGTGACCCTTGGAAAGTGATGGCCAGACAAGGCTGGATTCTCTGGTGTGTAATAAGAGCTTTAGTGCGTATCATAAGGAGACCCTGATACAAGCTCTTAAAAGCTCAGAGGTCTGAAACCTCTTTGAGGCTATTCTCTGTCTGTCAGACTTGCCGGTATTTGGTGTGTTTGGAGGCTGACCTGACACCCTGTCCCATCAATGGTGGGACAAGCATTTGGTCACAGAAGGTGGGACGTCGAGACAGCCTCCATGCGAAGCAGAAGATGCCTTTAAAAATTGGCAGAAAGTCATCTCCCAGCCACACGTAGGAGGCCCGGGCAGAGAGCCAACCAGACTTGCTGGAGGTGACAAAAACGCTGTGAGACCTATGGAAACGGGCACCAAAACCAGTTGCTTCAGCAATCCATCACCGGGGCTCCACCACTTGGACAGCCACCAAGGCCTTGCCTGTGCTCTGGCACCAGAAGGTGACGTATGAAGAGATGTCCTGGAGACTATTGCTCTGTCTTGGGCTTCTCCCCCTCCTGAAGAAGTCACAGCTGTGTGCAGGGGCTCCTCAGAGGGTCTGTGACGAGCAGCAGCCTTCTCAGAAGACTCCTTCATCTTTGAGGGAGATCCCAAGGGATTTACTACAGTCAGATCCCAAGGGATCTCCTTGCTTTGGAAAGAGGCAGGGCCGGGTAGGTGGAATCAGGTGCATCCTGCACGTGGCTTGGTCCATGCAGCAATGGGGCAAACTCCAGGAAAGGAGGGATGAGTGTGGATAGTGCCTACGTGCCCTCTGCCTGGGGAACGATCCGGCCTCCTCATGGACAGCTTGTCCATACCGAAGGATGGCATCAAGACGATAGAGTCATGGCCAACCTTGAGGCCTCCTTTCCATTGCTTGACCCATAACTTGGGGCCTTCCCAGGCTGGGGGAGCAGGAGGGTATGGGGTCTGTGGAGGGTGCCGCGATCCGGGTCAGCCTCTCCCCAGCATCCTCTTGTCTGTCTACTGGATGCCACTGAGGTGGTCATTGGCAGCACAAACTCCTGCAACACATGAAGGCTGATTCCCAATCTCGACTGCAATGGGGGTCCCCAGCATTTTGGAGGGCAGGGTGCTAAACATCAAGGCACCGCAATCGCTGTCTGCAAGACACTCTCCCTCTCACTCCTTCCAACCACGGCTGGCACGCAAAAGCCTCGCTAAAAATAGTTGAGCACAACAGGGATGGAGCCCTGCTCTGCACGGCCCCCTCCACTCTCCCCCCTCCTGCTCGCCGTAATGACCCTGCAAACACTAAATGGCATCTGAGTGCATTAAGCAGCAAACTCTCCGGTGACATAGCAATTACGGCTCTGAAATAGATTTGGTGCGTCACGGAAGATAAGGGTTTTGAAAGTTTCTGTTGTGATTATAGCTTGTAACTCCAACAAATAACAGGCTTGGTAATAAGAGGCTGCCAGCACAGCTATTGTGGTTCTCTCTCACTGATGGCACGTAAATTGCTATTAATGTCCTAAGTGTACTTGAATATGCCAGTCTCAGGGCGGTGGAGTTGGCTCTGTGTCTCTCTTTACGCGGCCTGTCATTGTCGGGCTGATGATCTACAGTAATTGCTGCCTCTTGCAGCGGTCCAAGACGTGTAAGGGTGGGTATTGCATCTCGGGGAGTGCAGGGACGGTGGGTTGGGGCCCAGGTGTGGATGGAAGCTGGCGGGGGTGGTGGGCACGGCAAGCCCAGGGTCTCTGCAGGCGGGGGGCATGCGGGGCTGGTAATGTTTGTGCACAGTCTGGTTTCATGGTTGCACCCAAGGTAAAGTAGAACGGGATTTGCTGACCTGCTAGCAAGCTCAGGTCGCGGTTCCTGTCTTCCTTGCTGTTGCCTGAACCCCTTTGCACCCACCTGCACATGGAAGAACAAACAAGAGTGTTGTGTGTGTGCACACCTCTGTCTTTTCTGCTTTGTGTGTGTCCCACTGCGAGGTGTTTTCATACCTCAAAATGTGGGTTCCCACGGCTCACCTGTGGTCAGCTCTTTGCTCCCATCTTGGCTGCCTCTAGGGCAGGCAGGAGCTGGTCGACAGCATGGACAACCCGCTGGCGAGTCCCAGAAGGCTGCTCGGTGCCTCGGGGCGATGAGGCTTTTCCTACCCTTACCCCACTTTGGGGGTCTGCAGGGTCCCAGCAAGCAGGGGCTGTTGGGGGCCAGTGATGAATGCCCTGCGCTGGAGGCAGCGGGATGGGCACGTCTAACACTCAAACGTGGGCAGGAGTTGGGAAGGATTAATTAGCTGAGCACTGAATCAATGTCAGAGCGAGCAGAGGAGGTTGGGTGCGACATCTGCTCCTCTCCGAAGGGGATGGCAGCCGCGGAGGAGCAGCTTCTGTGCACTGCTGGCTCCTGCCTGCGGCAGCCAGGGCCCTCTGGGTAGCTCTGCTCTTGAGAGGCTGGAGAATTTGGCTCTGCGACTGTTTTTAGAAGGAGAAATGAGTTGCCCACCCTGCTTCGCTGTACGAATCCTTGGATGGGCTATGGTGGTGGCACCTCCATTACTCTGTGGCTTGGGGTCCCTCGAGGAGGGGTGATGGGGGGCGCAGAGGACCAGCCCCCGGACGGCAGAAATTTGCTTGTGGTTTTACTGCAAAACAAGGAGGGGAACGCTCTGTGTTGGGAGCAGAGGGGTGGCCCAAATCCCCAAATGCGGCCTTCACGGTGGCAGGAGAGGTGTGTGGGCAGCGTGTCTTCCCCACAACAAGGCTTGGTACTGATGGCTTCCCCCCACACGGGGACTGTGCAGGAAGAGGGGTGCCCGGAAAGGTGGCAAGGGAGACATGGAGCGATGCTGGGGGACACGGCATGGCTCAGAGGTCCCTTGGGACCCATTGCTTGTTCTGCGTGTTCATAGCACCTGGGTCCAGATGATGTCTCAGGGTGGGGTTTCTGGAGTGAGGTGTTTGCTATTTTCCTCCTTCTGTATGGGGAAGGGTCCTATTTGGGGGTAAAAAAAAAATCCAAACAACCAGAGTTCAGGGTTTCTGCAGAAAAATATATTTTTTTGAAGGACAGAATTTCCATGAGCACTTGCAATTTATTAAAACCCCTGTTTTTGACAGAATTGTTTCTGGCCCCATCCCACTGATGGAGCCCTGCAGTCTGTGGTGGCATGGGGGAGCCAGAGGGGACATCTTTGCCTCCTACATCGGCCCCTGCCGAGGGAGAAGCAGGCGTGTCCGAGGCAGATGGGCAGCTTGGGTAGGGCTGGGCGTGCCGTTGGGTGACTAACATCTCTGTGTCCCTTCCCGCAGGCTAATGGAGGTTGGCAAGACGCTACTACCCCGTCGTCGGTGACCTCCCCCACAGAAGGCCCTGGCAGCGTTCACTCTGATACCTCCAACTGATCTCCCAGCAAATTGCATCCCTGGCTGAGCCGGCCCCGGCGGGGGCGGGAGGGGAGGGGGCCTCTCCTAACACCGCAGCAGTCAGACTGGAGGTGAACCCAATCAGCACACACAAGAAGACTCCTTCTCTTCTCTTCTCTTCGTCGGGATGCTTTTTTCAGCCAATCTGGACACTTCTTTATACTCTCTTCCCTTTCTTTTCTGGGTAGAAACCGCTCTCCCCCTCCCTGCCACCGCCACAACACCACTCCCTTCCCCTCACCCCTTCCCACCGAAGGATGTGTCGACAGGTAGAAGGATTTAAGGAGGAAAAGCAAAAATCAACTGCCGCCACACAAAACAACCCCAAAGCAGTGTACGGCCTCACGCTGGGCATCTTTCTGAGGAGCCACAAACGTACCTCAGTCACGTCTCGCTCCTTTACTAGCAGGCAGCCCCTCTCGCCCCCCCATCTCTCATGCTACCTCTCCATAGGGGAACACCACCGCAGCCCCGCTGCCGCCTTGTCTCCGCTGGCCCTGGCCGCAGCCAGCACATCGCCTCCCCGTGCCCAGCCCTGCCTTGGTGAGCTGTCCATCGGGCACTGCCGGTGACGGGGCGGGTAGATGCAGCCCCCTGTGCACGTAGAAGGAGCCAGCGTGCTCTTCGTCGCTTCCAAAAGGTACTGGCCCATTCCCAGCCCTGGGGAAACTGCCAGCACTTCCCGGTTCCTGCCCTGCTCCACCGCACATCCCAAAGCTGGGTGAGCCATGAAACCCTGCCATCCTCCCTGCTCGCTGTTGAAGGGGAAGAGAGGAGGGAAGGAAACGAGGCAGAGGTGGACAAGAAATGGCCATCGCTGATAACGAAGGCACTGAGCACCTCCGCGGTGTTGTACAGAATCAGGTGTAGATGGTTGATGGGACCCCAGCAGTTCTCTCACAGCACCTAGGGAGGCCAGCGGTAGAGTTTTTTCTGGCAAGGAGAGTGTCACAGGGTGTTGGCTTGTGTTTTCGGGAGCATACCATGCTGCAGAAGAGGAGGAGGTGGGTTCCCCAGTGCAGGCAGGACCCACAGAGGTTGGTGGCACCCGCTGCGTTCCCGAAGCCCTGCCAGGCAGGCAGCAAGGGACAGGCAGCAGGATCCCAGGGGCTGGATGCGGTGGGGTGAGCATGTTGTGTGCTTTTGGTAATGGTTAATGCAACAGGTTTGCTTGAGGGTGAAGGCTCTGCAAGATGGGTGGATGCCCTGCTTGGGGATGTCTTTCAACTGATGCTGCTGGTTTTATTGGGGGAGTGGCATTCCCAAGTCACGGGAACACTCGTGGGGTTTCTGGTCCGCTTTTTGGACAAGTGGTGATGGGTGGTAA